ATGATTAGTCTTGATTAATTCAGCTACCGTAGTGGTGAGTAAGAGTAACTATGTATGATCGTTTGCAATGAAGGAAACTGATCTTGAGAAAATTTAATCACTTTCCGATCAACACCATGATATTTTACTCAATTTGAAGTACTATCATCCCCAGTCAAGTGAATAATGAGGAAATGGACATTGAAATGCCTTATTACTTGTAGCTAGATCATTTCGACCATTAAAATGCATCTTTTCAAATAAATAATGGTGAACTAGCCATTAAAACGAATAATAATTCATTAATGAATAAATTTGATCATTTCATAATTATGGACTCTGTTTTTTTTTTGAGTTTTAAACTGATTTGAAAAATGTTTATAACTTCAAAAATTGATACGGATTATTAATGTTTGCTTATCAAACTTTTTTTTCCGAAATAGTCAAAAACATTCTTGTAAACTTAACAGCTTAAGCGTCTATTGAAGTATGCGACTCTGATGAAATTACACTTAATAACAGCCGAAAAGCTATTTTTTGTATGATATTGATAGTCGGTTTACAATTCTCGAATCGAAAAGGATCTTTTTCTTTAATAATAGTGCTAAATTTATAAGTTTTTCAACAAATATTGAATGTCTATAATTGACAGCGTCATCATCTTTTTTCAAAAGAAGATAGATCTTATTTATATTTGAGATAAACTGTATATCTTAGGCGACTAATCTAACCTTGTTTCTTCTCTCTCAAAAGAAACGATTAGGATAAAATAGTACCAAAGGACCTATCGAAATAACAGCGAAAAATGATTTAAGAAGTCAAAGTTCCTGTATATCAGAGAAAAAAATTGGACTTTAATTAAAATTTGATATCAATAAAACCCAAGTAGATCTGTCTTGTAAAATGAAGTTATATGATTAGAATTTAGGCACAAAATTATTTTTTTCAATGTGAATCACATTATGATGTAAACAACTAAAAGATATTACGTTCTGTTAAAATCAAGTATGGTCCTTATTATTCATATTGTTATTTTCGTTTACTCAGCTAAAGTAATCGTATAAATCGAAGTAGACAGATTTTATTTTATGGGTTGCAGTCTTTACCTCACATTAATCTAACAATCGATAGAAAATTATACAAAACTTGTTTTTCAAATGACATTGTAAAAAAAGCTCTCGAATTCTACATGACATCGTTGATAATAACGAAAACTTAAGAATATTATATAAACTTATTGATTTATTTGACTTTTTTTTACAAAATTTTTCATTAACTGAACAAATATATTTAGTTCTTTCTACAGAGATATTTCGATACTAGTCGATCATTGAAATATTTTGTGCGCACTATTACAACGATTTCTCTAATAATATAGTACACATCTTTGTATACATCGCTGATTAACACATCAGGTCCAACTATAATACAGTATTATCTTCTCTTATTCTACTCTCTTTAAAACAAAAATATTTATATACTGATCGTTTATCTGAGATTAGCGTGATATAAGAAACAAGTTAAGATTACTCTTGTTAGGGGAAACTGTTTTTTATCCTAAATAACCATCAAGGAAAAGATTGTTACCGTGGTGATGAAAAGGACTATGATGGATAATGACAGAACATTTGCTATCGGTAATAGAGTCCTTTAACTTGTTCTGTTATAAGATAGCAGATCCTTTTGTACTTAAAATTTCCGTATTCTAAAAGTTATTTTGGCTATTGTATATGAATATTTACATGTTTATATACGAGAATTTAAAATTTTTTTTGTCATCCATTAAGAATATTTTGTTCTTGTTTATGAAATGAATGCATTTACTTTATTTCATATGATAGTAAAAATATCATAAATTGCATAACAACAGATATGTATTATATTCTTGTGACATTGAACAATATAAATCTGTTTTAAAAGAGAAGTATTTAAAAAGTTTCACAACTACTACATGTTGCTAACGATTTCTTTTTCATATGAAAATATTATAAAAGATTACTTTTGAATTTCTTGAACTAGACTACAGTGAATCTTTAGATTAACACATATGGTTGTCAGTAGAAAACGAGCTTGTTTGAACTTTATTTTAAGTCACATCTGATTGAAAATAAAATCTAATCGGTTCCAGCATGTTCGAAATGATGGAAAAGATCTTGAAGCAAATTAGATTCTTTCAGAGTATAGACGACTGTAATTTCAATTATTTGTTCATATTACGACCGAAATAGTTTATCTTGAACATGAACTAATAAATACTATCCATTTGACGTAATATCTAGCAGAAAGACAGCCTGAAAATACTGTTGATTATGTATAGTAGTCTAAGGAAGAAATTTAAATTAATAATAACTCAGTCAATCATGATAAATTATTCTAATATTCAAGAAAATTCTAATCATTATTTATCCAAGACATTCTAACTTATAAAATCTATTATTAAGAATCATTCTAGGATTATAATAGTTATCATCATCGAAGTGAAGTGACAATCGTGTTATTATTATTCCAAGTGTTCAAGTTATGAAATAAACAAGTCAAATAATAAATAAATCTGTTCGATTGAAAGAAATATGATTTATTTGTTACACCAATTGAAAGAACAAAATATAGAGGTCAGTACTATCTAAAATTATTTTGTCTCAAACAGGTCTCGGAAAAATTTGTTCCAAACGAGAGGTATTATGTTTGAATCAAAATAAAATTTTCTATCTTTTCATATATTTTCATCTCATAGAATTCATTGCCCGATGTTCATATGCAAAGTGCATTAGTCACTTTCAAATCTGCCATAGATAGCATGAATCATGGATTCTTAACATCATACCAAGAGAAAGATGTGCATGGATACTGACTACTGTTGATGTATTCAGACACAATGCGTAGATAATATATATACGTCTATGTTCACGTCTAATTTAATGCAAGTAAAGCTATTATAAATGGTCGGATGAAAGTAACACTTTAGATTAATCACAATTTTTTGTCACTAAACTGTTATCACATTTCATCAGACAATTGTTGAAAATAGCAGTTAAATTAGATAGATATATTTTGAGTAATAAATGAAAAACCTAAATTTGTAGTCTGTCTCATTAATTTTTATTAATAAGAAAAAACACACATTGTGAATATAGAATAAGTATTGTCGTACAGTGATAGGAATTTTTTTTATTTCAATTATATATTTAATGATATGAAAATCTAATAAGATCATATCGATTCGATCTCTTTAACATTATTTATTCATCTCACTACTACTATTCTGTTCGCTATATTCAACTATATATGATTGGCTAATTTTTATTGGTCAAATATAGTCTTTGTCTCAGAACAAAAAACAATACTATAACTATAAAAGGAAAGAAAGAGAACGAGTACCATTCCTTTTAAAGATTGATGCGTCAGTTGTAACATATTGTTGTGTTCATATCCGACATAATCAGGAACATCTTGGACGAGTTTAAATAGTACTAACTAAGAAGTTAACCTTTCCATTTATAATATTTGTGACTTTTTTGAATATTTCCTCTGCGCCAGATGTTTATTCAGATATTCTAGATTATTCGTAAAATGCGCTAGGACAATCGACTATCATTCATAATCTTCTATGTTTTACTGAATAAAATAAACGACACTCAATCTTTTTTTATTTAAATAGAAATAACATTGAGACAGAAATTTCTATGACTAACATGTTAGTATACATTAAGTATGGACATGTACTATATATGATCTAATCCTCTGTATTATTCTTTTTGATCAGTTTATAATACTTTTTCTGATTTTAAATCACTTTCCTAGATTTTTTGGTCTATTTATCTTCCACACAATCGCCATAGTATACTAAGAGTGTCGAAGTAAACACAAAATTACAGTACGATTTATTCATTAAAAAAAGGATTAAAGTGATTTTTTTATGTGAATATTACAGATTCTTTCAGAGAAAGAGTAATATAAATAATTAGCCGATAAGATCAGAAATAATGCGAAAAAATAATTTGTATTGTTAACATTATTTTGTTATCTTTTTAAACTATTTTCAGGCATTTTTTGTGACAGTTTTACATCAGACGAAAAAGATACTTTGAGCAGGTGCATTATACGATCTTTGTTTTTTTTTAAATGTTGTTACGTAATTTCTGACCGACAGTTTGCGTAATGCTAATAGTGGTGCATTTTTAACCAGAACTTTCTCAAGTAAAAAGATTATTGAAAAATCATGTTAAAAATCCGTCAAATAGGCACTATTTTATTCTGGTTTCAATCAGATTTTTCAACTTTAGAAATTCAATTTAATTTGACTTTAGTATTTTTAATCGATTATTAAATCTAAATCAATCACGACTGATTATTTGAAATCGATTTTAACTGATTAAAGTAATTTCATCAATTTGAATAGACAAAAATCAAGTTAAAATAGTGCCATCAGAATGGATATTTAATCTGGTTTTTCAATAATTTTTTTACATGAGTCGTTAAAGTCCATATATGCATTGCTTTTATTCATAGAAGCAGATGCTGAACTTATAGTTTGATGAAAAATATGCAAGCAAAATCTGGAGTATTGAAAGTCACATTAATGAATCCTCATCTGTTTTTACAAGTGTGTCTTTCTTGAACCACTACTCGTCTATCTCGTAAATGCTTGAATTTCAAAAATTCAAACCTAAAGAATTACGCATACTGCCTTTATTTGGCCATGTAATCCTCATTAGATCAAGTTAGGGGATATAGAAAAGAAGAGAAGATAACTACACTAATAAATAAATACTCTGTCCACGTTTTTGTATTCTTCTTTCTGCCTTTGCTATCTTTATCATTGCTTCGCTTCGTTTTCTTTTTTCTGTTACACACATAATATTAACGAAGGACAAAACGTTTATGGCATTCATGTTGCTTATTATCTATGTTATCTGTTTTTCTTTCTGTGTATCTTCATGTTAGATAATGACTTCATAAGACACATTGATGTGATGTTATATTTTTTTTCTCTAAAAAGAAAATAAGTTATTCTATTTCAAATGAATACTTTGTCGTCGTTCATTCTTAACGAACGATTTTGGTTAGCAGGCAATACAACTTGGCAGGATTTTGCTCGAATCGAAAGAGATGAAAACATCAAGTTAACAAATCCAAATGATCTTCTCTATGTTTATCCTTTGGCCGCTATTATTTCTGTGGTACGAATGGTTTTCGAGAGGTAAAAAACAAAACCATATTATTCTAACTCGCATATTATATCAACATTTTCTTTACTTGTTAGATACATAGCTAAACCAATTGGTCGATCACTTGGTATTCAAGGTAGAGTTAAAAGAAATACAACAAGAGATATGAAAACTACTGCAACAACAGTATCAAGTCGTTCTACACCAATAGATGCAAATCAAACAGATAAACGAGAACAAGTAGACAGTAATGATAGTGGTTCATCAGTGTCAACAGTTCGTTATCCACGTACTAGTCCATTAGCTAAATTTAGTGAATCCTGTTGGCGTTTTACTTTTTATCTAATTATATTCATTTACGGAGTTGTCGTAGTTCTAAATGTGAGCATATTGATGTATATATGTCTGTTAACTCTTTTTATTTTAAGAAATCATGGAACTGGGATACACGTCATTGTTGGTTAGGTTATCCTAATCAACCTCTCACAGCAGACATCTTTTGGTACTATATGATTGAACTGGCTTTCTACTGGTCTCTTTTATTTTCACAATTTATCGACGTTAAACGAAAGGTATATAAGTACCAAAATCATTGTTTCTTTTTGTAATAGAAAATATATTTTCTTGAGCGTTTTTTTTTTCTTAATAGGACTTTTGGCAAATGTTTCTTCATCACGTAGCTACTATAATGCTTTTGTCTTTTTCGTATATTGCGAATTATGTACGTGTCGGTTCACTAGTACTTGTCATACATGACTGTGCTGACTATTGGCTCGAGGTTTGTATTTTGTTAAATAAATATCTTTCTTTTTTCTCGTCTAATCGATTGCGGTTTTTTTTAATAGGGCGCCAAAATGGGCGTCTACGCACGATCAAAACGGATCAGTGACACTATGTTTATGATGTTTGCTATCATCTGGTTTGTTACTAGGATCTGTTATTATCCGTATAAGTAAGTCAACTAAATTATACATTCACTCCATTAATCATTTGTACTCTCTTCTAGAATACTCTACACGACGTTATTCGAAGGAATATCTATTATTCAACCATGTCCTCCAGCTTATTATGTTTTCAATGGACTACTGTCGATTCTTTATATTCTTCACTATTTCTGGTTCTATTTCATCTGTAAAGTAGCTATCAATGCATTGAAAAATGGCGAGGTACGATGATCAATCTTCTTCTAATGTTCATCTAAATTTGAGACTATGAGCTAATATATGGACATGGAAGTTAGAATAGGAGAGAAAACGAGAATTTTCATTCACTTGGATGAGAAGGAATTTAAAAACGAAACTTGATATTTCTATTATTTTTTTCTTTTTGATTTATTGCAGGTGAAGGATGAACGAAGCGACAGTGAAGAGAGCGATGATGATGACAAAAACAAATGATTCTCTAACGTTTCTTCCAACAATCGATTGGTACTCAAGGTGTTTTTTTATTTTATTGAAATACATAATTGCTGGGAGACTGATTCTTCTTTTTTTTTCTACAAATATATTCAAGCGAACGTCCATCGCGTAGTAAATGAAAAACATCATGTAAACTTTGGTTTGAAACCTTAAAAACGGATTGTAGAACTACAATTTCTAAGTCCGCTTATCGGTGGATAAAATAGCATAAATTAAAAAAGACTAGAAGCAACACTAAAATAAACAACAAAAACTTTTTCTGACCAATACGCAGTGATTCGATGATCAGAGCTATTGTCAATTCTAGGTAACATTTTTGGTGTAACATAAATTAATAGCGGTGGTGTCCATCTCGTTGTGTTGTGTGCGAAAAAGTGACCACAGCTTACAATCACTTCCTTCATGTATATGTTCCCTGTTATTGAGTTTTTCTCTATTTCTATCCGTTTTATTTCAAAAGAAATTTTTAGGTTATTTTTTGAAAAATAAGAGAAAAGTGCTAAAGAGTTCACTGGATATGAACAAATGCGTCTGATTATTAATTGTAATAAATACTGTAATTGACTCCTTCAAATTTGAAATTACGACAGCGACGACCTATCAGATATATTAGTGATATCCAGTAGGCTAACCCAACATTATCTTAAGTGAAGATTTGAAAAATCATCTGTATTCTGATACAAATAATTAAACTCATTTAAAACGAGGGAGGTTTACAATCAAGGGGGAGGGGGGAAGCGAATTCCGTCTATTCGGGATGAATTCTCTGGATCTTATAATGCATCTTCGGTATCCCCAAAATATCCTCTGTATCCTCACCGCATTTCGGATATGAAGATTCCTCGCGGATCCTCGTATCTGGAAGATACATGGGGATACAGAGGATATCGAGCTTCGCTTTCTCCCCCTTGAGATAAGATCTTTTGTAGCATCATTTATGCAACGCTTTCGTGCATTTGTAATAGCTGACGACGTTTTTACATCTTAAAACCTCGAAAAAAAAGCCATAAATTGCAACTTTTTTCTCAAAACGAGATTTTGAAACAAAAAATTGAAGATTCTCCTCTTTTTCTCCTAAACGGTAAAGGCCATTGAGCTCAAACATTTTTTATGAGTACTTCGATCAAATCAGGGTGTTTCTTCTTTTTTCTTATGAAAATATTGTACCGATGAAGTTTTGTAAGCTTTACAAAATTAGCACCATTTAAAAAAAAAGAACTTTTCTCAATGATTTTTTCACAGTGCGTTCCTGATCTTGCTTCTCCTGAGCCTCAGGAACAATATTTTTCAAAGGATTTTTTTCTAATTGCTACAGAAAAAAATTCAGCTATGAAAAACATTAGGTGAGCGTTTATGAGGACAAAAAACTTCAGGCTACTTTTGGTCTTTGACCTACTAAAATTTCCTGGATGAAACCATTTGAGAGTTTTGAGTCTATGACAACTGTTGTTCTACTCCTCAAGATCTATCTACCCTGAAAGTTTCAAAAATTTTCGCCGAACTTCTCTCAAGAAACCTCAGAATCGAAGAGGAGGGTTCTCTTAATGTTCATCTTATTTGAGTGTCACGGGACTTACTCGACTACTTTTTATGAACCATTTTTATACAACTAAACGAATAACATTAAAAAGAAAACAGTAGAAAACCGTTTCAATGATACCACAAAGAAATGTCGTCTGCCATGACCCCATTTTGATTCTCTTTCATCGATGAATTTCTGGTAGAGTTTGATTGAGAATGATGCAACCTTTAATCAGAAAACAATAATATTAGAACGCTTCATGAGTAGAGACTCACTTGTCGAAGTATTATTATACTCTTTCCAAAGTCTGTATACTATGTATCAGTATTACTGATAAACGACTGTTACAGTATTTGTACCGCTATGAAATTGAGATTTATCCATTAGAGTAACATGACATTTTGAGAATCAATCAGCTTTTGATTGTGACAAGTGTTCATCTAGATCAGTATACAAAGGTGAGGATACACTAGGAATCATCAAAGTATCTTCAGCAAAGTAGTAAGAAATTACAACTAACCAAGTGCAACATGATAGAGAGTTTTAAATGTCTCCGACTATGTTATTATTTTCGTATGAATCGATTCCTTTTATTATGAAAAACCTTAGTTTGTGGACACCGGTAAGCGAGAATGTCTTCATTGTAATGAAAATATTTTTTCAAGCATATAGATTCAAGCCAAGATATTTGTAAACAAGATGACACACAATACTGAGCCCTATCACCTTAAAATTCAGACCTATATTGTAAACGTACTTTTAAAAGGTTATGAAACGAATTTTTTCGAGGTTGATCTAAACGTTGCTTGTCTGTGAGAGCGTCAGACGTCGCCTCACGTAAGATATTATTTTCGTTTGAATCAATTGATATTGATCGATGATTATGGTTATTTTTCTAAGTATTTATGGTTGCGGAAACGATGACTCACCGATTGATGGTAGAACAGTATGCCAAAAGAGAGACCAGATGAAATATATGTGAAAGTTGAAAGAGAAAGAATCAAACGATTCATCGAGTGTTTATGTCATGTTTTGATTGTGAAACTCAACCTGACAAAAGTAATCTGAAATAAAATATGTATGTAAAACATTGACGTCAGCTGGTTTTATTCCAATATGTACGATAGGAGTATTTTTAATAAATGTAGCTTCGAACGACAATATAGTATTGGTTTATTTTGAGCTATTACGAACTCATATGAACAACGTTATCATAAGGAAGAACATTTTTCTATTTGAAATTACCATTTTATTAAATTTGCTCAAAGTTGAATTGGTAACAGCATAATCAACTATAGATTTGAAGCCAATTTTTTCTGTCCAAAAACTGTAAGTAAAATGGATTCAGTAATGACTTTAACTATTTCTTTTCCAATTTATAGTTCTTTTTGTTCGGTTGCCATATGAAAAGTTCCTAACAGTCATTCTTCGTGCGCCAACGATACAAATGCGAATACAGGTATGACGAACGATATGCCATTCATTTTAACAAATACAATTATGATCGAGCACTTAAAACAATTGTTTTGATGTATCTTTAAAACATCGAAAATTACTTGAAGTTAAACAACTATGTTTCACTTCAAATCATCTAGATGTCGCTCAGGCCTACAGTAATTTCAATATAGTAAATCAAAAATCGGACAAATATAACGATGAACAATATCATTTACAAGAGGTAATTGAAATCCAACAGAATATTGACCCTTCTACAAATCTCAACCAAATTATTGTGTATTATTTGCATTTTTATATTACATCATGAAACACGATCGTTTAACAGCAGAGAAGAAGACGATCAGAGAGGAAGTAAAGAAAACAGAAATGGAAATACACACATAGACGCATAACAACAAAATTGTTCTAGACTTAGATATGTAGCACGTAGTTGCTGTGGTATGTTTTCTTGACTGACAGTAACACTATGACGAGGATAAAGAAAGAGGTCGTTGATCATAGCTTGTAATGAACTGTTCAAGAAAAGAGTAAAGTTTCGTTAGCCGATGTTTTTGATTGTCCGAAAACAGTGACAGAATCTTTTAGATAATTAAACGCACTATGTAGCGAGTCGTCACTGTAACATCAGTGACTAGTGCCATGTGAATCTCGATTTGAATTTGTAAGTGTTGGTCGATTACCACCATTGTGATAAAATCCTTGTCCTACAGAAAAGATTGAAAAAGAAATTTTACTATAAAGTCAAATAAAGGGTAAATCTGAATTTGATCGAAAAATTAAAATTTCGAGAGACGTTGAATAAGTATAAGAATGAAATACAGATGGTTGTTATTTTAGTTTTATAATAAAGACCTTCTATTTAAGTATTCATTTAATAACAATTATAACTTGGGAAAACAAAGCTTTTAACATTAGTAAAAACTGTGAAATAATGAAATAACAAAGATAACTGAATGCATCAAAAAATATTAAACGAATACATTCTATTTTGTTTTCTTAGCAATTACGTAAAATAATTTAGTAAGAAGATTATGTACATTCATAAATTTCTAGAATATCGATTATGAAGTGTATTGGTACCGTATATACGACTGCTCAGTCTGTTGTTGTATCCTTCGAACAGGAAAACAATAACTTCATTGTACTTATCAACTATTAGTGTCATCTTCCTTCTAATGCTTTAAACAATATTGTTACAGTGTTCAACCTCCCTGACGTCGAATAGTGTAAGATTTTTATTTTCTACATTTTTATCTTCGACTTTTTTTTTTTTTACTTTTGACGTTATTCTAGTGAATCAAATAAAGCTCTTTCATGATCTTTTTTCTATCGAAAATTTTCTCTACGTGATTACGAAAAAGAAAAATATCAAAATAAACTCACTTGAAACACCACTATCACGACTTCTGGTGCTATTAATACCCTGTTCGCATGGAATTTCATATTCAAACGGTTTGAAAACTAATGGAATGGAGATAAGATTTTTCTTGTCCTTTAATTGTTCGTTTTCTAAACTCTCTTCACATTCAGTTTCTTCATCTTCATCTTCCGATTCGTTATCATTATTTGCACTTGAATAGGTCTGTCCAGGATCTTTCCACACTTTTGTATTTTGAACTTTACCAGTATCTTGCGTTTTAAATTTTAATAAAAGTAATTGATTAGCTTTCTTTTTGGCTTCGCGTTGTTGTCTGTATTCTTCCAACGTTATTTGTTTATCGGCTTTATCAGCTTGTTCGCGTGGAGCTTGGCAACGCGACAGAGAAATTTTGTTCCGTTTGCTACAAAGACATATTGGCAATCATTCATAAAAGTGCAAAATAATGAAATATTACTCACTTTGTTGTTTTGTATTCTCGTAGATTTTGTGTTGGATTGTTCGGATTGTAACCGATTCTGCCATCGTTCCTAGAAACCTTTATTCGATCTCCGGACCATACTAGCACTGTTTGATTCGTTTTACTGAAAATATTGATGAAAATTCGTAAAATAGTTGAAACAATGAAATATCACGCACTTCGTTGTTTGGTGTTCTCTAAGGTTTGTTATTACATTACCACGCTGGGAAACATCTTTGTCTGTATTTTTCACCGTCGATTTCCTACCTCTGTGAACCTTTGTCCAGCCTCCGTCCCCTGCCATCTCTACTTGTTTCGTTTAGCTAGACACTTTGACGAGCAGTCGTTTAAATATGCAATTAACAGGGAAAAATCGTATTGCTCCGATTGCACAATTATTTTGAAAGAAAAAAAACGCATTTAACAATTATTTCACAACAAAAGCAAACACTTTGCAAGTCCTAGGAGAATGCGGTAAATTTTTCTTTCATGATGAAAGTGAGAGTGTGGGTGTGACTGTGAACCTTATTTTAGATAACATCCACACCCTTAGATGATAATTTTAGACTACAGCGATTTCTCAAGCCTTCATAAAAAACCCATTCTGATTACTAAATTTCATTATTCATTCTATCAATGGATATTATATATTATGATAAATAAGCTTCAACAGTTGAAGTTAATGTTAATGATTTATGCATTATGCATGTTTTCAATCAATGTTTTTTTTAATAAGTAGTTAATAATTCTATAGTCAATCTTTCTCGAACGATCATAATTTGTGGTGTAGAGCAGAGACCGAAACGAGTCAAAAAAATCCAACTCGACTCGACTCGACTCGACTGAACCATTCAATCGACTCGGCTCGACTCGACATGCATCTAAAAAACATCTGACTCGGCTCGACTCGAGCCGAGTCGAGTCGAGCCACCGAGTATCGATTCAAAATCGAATGTTTAGAAGTACATTCTTAATATCAAGAATGAGAAGAAATTTAGACACACATTTCACTTGTATCATAGTGTTGAAACATCCATGTCGGACCACACGAAAAGGAAACCGTCAGCTTCAGGAAATTGCGACAATTTCTTGAAAGCAGTATTTGAGACTTGGAGATCTCAGATTTTTTTTCTGTGTCTTCCCATTAAAATCCTGTCTTTGTCGCTCAAAGATGGTCGGAAGTCATCGAAAAAGTCCTTCGCTCTCTCCACTTGATGTACTGCTTCGATTTTCTATCGATTTTCGGAGGTTCTCTGCCAGAAACAGAAATTTTCTACAAGTTTTCTACTCGGTTTCAGCGCTTGGAATTATCGTCTCGAATAATTCTGAATCATTTTCTTGCGCGATTTCGGCAATACTGCAGGCCGATTTCTTCTCCCCATAAATGTTCCAAGGCTGTTCGAAACGGTCCTATTGGATGGAATGGTTAACATATTTCATCGATTTCAATATTCTAAATATGATCAAATATTTGATCATATAAACATCCATTCTGTTTTGATCATCTTTTTGCGATAGATAATGAAATAATGCAATACACTACTAAATCTGTTGCACGTCGCATGCCGATCACTTACATAGGCTGACGATCAATCAAGTCATTGCATTCTAATTAATCTTTGAACAGTCAATAATGCATTGAATACAATGGAAGCTAGTGTATATCATTCATTGTAGTTTATTTAGCGTCGTCAGTTCATCGCTGTCTATTCATTTTAATGCTTTGTTCAACCTATTCATTGAAATGAATTGACATTGTCTCATCTCGGTTCGTCTAATGATGACGATGACTAATATTGAGAAACAAATGATAGAATTATGAATAAATTTTTAAAAAGTCGAATCGTTGGGGTCAAATTCGACTCGACTCGACTCGACAGTAGATCTGACTGGACTCGACTCGACTCGACACATTTCTCAAACTTCGCACTCGGGCTCGACTCGACTCGGCGTGAACCGAGTCGAGTCGAGTCGATTTGTCGAGTACTCGACTCGTTTTCGGTCTCTGGTGTAGAGCCTATTTGCTTGTTTTCTTTCTTTCTTCATTCTATGCATCCAGACGCTTTTCTAGAATAAGAAATGCTGGAATATTTGATCGAGAAAAGTTTTCTAATTTTCTATCTAATTCGGTCAAGTTTTTTCACTCTGTCTTTCACTCGATAGATTATTCATTAGAATTCGTCAAATCATCATATTGATGATTCTCAGAGACATTGAAGAATTGCTATTACTATACTGTGATGCTCTTTCATTGGATAATGTATTATCAACAGAATGAGGTTAGTACTAGTGATTATCTATCAACATTTATTGCTGTTGCTGCTTGAAGGCATTCTTCACTACCTACCGAACCAAATCATTTTGAGAATTTATATTCATCTTTTAATTGAAAACATGATAAGGATATTTTTCTTGAAAAAAATGATGAAACAATGTACTTCTATGTATATGCAGAGAAATAATAGCAAATGCATACATCGTCTGAACATTGTCCATCTAACCCAACAACGGATGTCAAGTAAGGTAAGTAGCTAAGTGTGAACAAATGCTATAACTGCAAAATATGACTATTTTTCTCAAATGAAGGGTTTAACTTTATTGAAGCAAATGCTCATTTCATTTTCAGTCTGTGCATTGTTAGGACATTGTAACACATATCTTAATTGCTTGCTTACTTAAAGCTTCAAAACCAAAGAATGTTTTTTTTTATATTCGCTCATTTTCGTTGAATAGGACCTCGATGATCCAACATAACAATATAGGATCCATCATGTGCCTGTATAGTGGAGATCAAATAAAATAGTAATAGACTTGATTAATACAAAAAATCCTTGAATATAAAATAGAAAAAAAACAAACTTTCATACTAAGAGGAAAATAAGTTACAACAAGACAACATGATATTGTTGTTTTAATGTATTTTCATGGTCAGATAACCATATAGTACTCAAAAAACTTGTTACTCTATTAGACTTGATAGACCCGTTTTTGTCGTTCATTATGATAAAAAATACGTTTCAGATTTCATTGAGTAATGACAATATTATAGTCAAAATACTGTACACTATGGCAAGGGCCTAACGTCGAGGTTTTTTGATAAATGACTATCAATAATGAGAAAAAGTCGATTTATATATCTAAAAATTGCCATATTCTGAAAAAAAAGATAACATAGTATATGATGTACAGAAAAATTTCCCTTACAAAAATGTTATAGTTGGCTTTTCCATTACACTCAAATACTATGAATAAGTTTCGATAGGATATTTATTTAGGAATAAATGAAAGACAAAAGATACAGTGATTAGCAGTTTATGAGTATAGAATAAGAAAGGATAAAGCATGAGGTAATAGCCGATCACATGATAAATTTAGAACAGCATATATAAACACATTTTAAAATTAAGAATAGTATTTTGTATAAAAATACAATACAAATTTTTTAGTAAATTTTCTCTTTCGACCGAATTCGAACCGAATCAACTCTACTCTCATGGTCAATAATATCACATATACGTTTATAGACACCATTTAAATCTTCTTCTTCAATAGTAGCTATAAAATAAAAATAAGAGTTTGTTTTTTCTGATTAAATATGGCTGCTTTACTTGTGAAAAGATCACCATATTGTTGTTCAATGTCATTACATTTATTATAGATTTGTTTAGCTTGTACTTCATTTGCTTCTTCTCCCATATTATTCCTTAAACATATTAAAAATAAATTAAATTTAAGTTGAATGTAATATTTTCTTACAATATCCATTTGATGTCACGTGGTTTAATATAAATAACAATTGGATAAAGATCAGCTCCGATAAGACGTTTAATAGCTCTACCACTGACATCCAAAACACAATGTTTTGACTAATATATATATATATGAATTATTTTTATATTGTAAAATGAATACATACAGCATCAAGTACGTCACGAACAGCATTGACACTGGTACCATACAAATTTCCACGATGTTCTCCAGCTTCAATAAATAACTCATTTTGTATATCTTCTTCCATTTGTTCACGATTTGAAAAATGATAATCTTGACCATCCACTTCTTGGTCACGTTTCGCTCGAGTTGTATCTATAATAAATCTTTTATTAATTACCTAAATGAATAAACATAAATAAATACATACGAGGCACACAACTACTAAATTTATCTGGATAGTTCGTCATTAGTTAATCACTAATAATTTCTTTACATGCTCCAAATATTATAACTGGTCTTGGGTAACCAACTAAAACAAAGATCTAAATGATTTACAATACGATCTACTTTTTCTCATTTCTATCTCAATTTATTCTTATGAAGTCACAATTCATCAACATACGAAAAATTATATTTAACATACAATCTTGATAAACGATTGTTGAATTAAAAATATTTGAATCTAAACTAACAGGAAAATTTCATGTAGCTTTCGAAATCCACTATTGTAGATTGTACATCTCCGGTTAAATACTAATCCAGCAGAGTCGAAAGCATTCAAAGATATGAATAGAGCTCTATATAAAATTTCGAGACTCGATTCCGATGAATTTGAAGTCGAAGTGATTGAAATGATCTTTTTCCAGTGCCAATGTCAAAACTACATAAACGGGATGATACAGTTTATGGTTTGACATAGTAACATTTGACATCTTATTTTCTATCTTTATAATCAATTAGTTATTTCAAATTATTAAGATTTATTTTTAGTGTCAAAAAAGTTGCCAGATATTCGTTCCTTGATAAATACTAGCCACAAGATGTTCAGCAGCACGTATATTGCTCAGTAGATCGAAAAAACGGTACACTTGTTAGACTTTTAATTGCTATAAATGCGAACATCTGACTTGTCTATAACACGTGTGTATGACTCGAGACTTTTCATACGCCTAACGATACATTGTTGTTGAACAGAAAATTTTGCATTATCTATGGCACATTTTTATGCGGTGCGAACTATTTTGCCCGTGTTGTAATATATAGTCCGAAACTTTTCGTCCTCAGTCTCACTAATAACTGACAATGAAGGTGGTAGATGTGAATGTAGATATAACTGAAGAAAAATGAGTGGACTAATCTAAAATTTCTTCAATAGCGATGCGTAGTAGTCTGACGTGTCGTCAATGTTCGTTAGGATAAGTCTATTTTTGAGAAAGCACTATTATGAGAATAATCAGATTCGTTGAGAATGTGGACCAGATAGTAGATTAATAACTAGTTTGATACAATTTTTTGAATAACAATCAACAAATACTAAGAAGGCAAATCAAAATAGATGATCTAAAATGATGCAGAGTTTTTAAACTCAGATCTGCTCAAGTCCAAACGATTATGAAAATTAATATTAATTATTAAATTTTTATTAATATACAAATATATTATTATTCATGCTGTTGTTTTTCTCTAACTAAAGTAATAATAATAAGAGTCCTTCAAAACCAAGGATGATATCAAGAGTTGACAACATATTTCATTGTATTCGATATACAAGCTTACAACTCTCTCAAGAGAAAAAAACTTGTATCTTTTTTATGCTAAAAGTATCAAAGTTATATTGCAGCACGAAGAAGTACATGAAAATTACATATTTTCAGTTTAATTTTGAATTGAAATTGTGAAAATTTCGAACCAACGACATACACTTCTATCGTGATGTGAAAGAAAAATTAACTGTTTGAATATTTACCTTATGTTTGTATGTTATTCCTGTTTAATAAAGAAATTTTCTAAAATATTTACTACAATACAAATAATTATTTTATTCATCACGAGATTTGAAAAACTTAGAATAAAAATCTTGTTAAGTGATATATTGTGTGCCTGTTCAAATCTAATCTACTTCCTAATATTTCTATCATTTAGACTAGTCAAGACTTGACCAGTACATAAAATTACAACTCATTGTAAGCAATATCATGAACATTCTTTCCTTTTTTGATTTAAAATTGCTTTTGGACAGGTGTCTCAAAGTAGTACAACAAGCTTAGTCTTTCTCTCAAAAATACTAGACAAAACTAATAGAATAACAGTTGTCAGTTAAGCATTCAAGACGCAGTCTATGAACTAAATATGAGAGACTAGACAAGACGTACTGTGAAGATTAGAATAATGACTACTGGTGTTAACCGTCTTTTACTTACCTGAGTTCACAAATGAGCCATGCGACTCTTTTTCCATACACTTTTTAGACGAAGATGTTCCAGATTGAAGAAACCAAATGAGAAAAAAGCATTTACCAAGCCAATAGAATAGTAAGAAATCGCACAGACCATGTAAAAAATATTCGATGAAACCGAGTGATGAATAAATAATCCAATACATCAACAGTTGTTTTTGATTTGACGTGTCCGATAATAGAATCACCATTGATCTGACAAGAAAATTCAAATGATTCAACTCATGTCATGCATATACATTGAAAAGAATTTTTAAGGCAGATACAGATCAAAGTTACTAGTCATAATGATTAGTTTTCACTGCTGGATTATTCAATAGGATCTCTATGACAAAACACAAAAGAAACAGTAAATCGAGTAAAACTTTCAGGGTTTGTAGAAGTTTCTCGTAGAACATTTTCGTATACAGAATGTTTGGGATCCAATGTAAGATAGACAGACAAAAATAACATACAAAGCATGACTTACAGCGATTTTTTTTTTGAGACAAACATTTCTTCATTTCATATTTTCACTATTTTTCGACTTCAAACTATTGATATTGAACTTTCAAAAGAATCATTCACAAACTGAAATTTGTTGAATAGGTAATACATATGTTAGATAGAGCTGAAGATGTTCTATTTAGTACTATGTCTTGTTCTGTTCCTGAATTTGTACTTGTTCTTAAAAATGGGTTAAAAGCCAAAATCTTGACGATTTCAGATAGTATTTTTTACACATCATGAACATAAACTAGTTTTTTCTTGCTTATTTTTAGCTCGAAATCATCATTTAACGTCAGATTCATGCTAAATATAAAAAACTGAGTCAATTATCATTAATAGGTTATAGGCCAATGAACAATCGAAAATAAGTTTTCGATCAACAGATCCTACCGAAAGGGATATGGGAATTTACTAAAAAAATATTTTCATATAGTTGTTCAATAGTCATTCAGTTTAATTCGGTTTCCATATGGGTGTGAGCTTGTTCTTTCTGGTATCTATGCTTATACCGTCAAGACATTTCTGCGGCAAAAAAAAACTACCTAATTTTACTAAGAATGTGAGTGTTTTCGAATACATGATATTTTTTTGAAAATATTGTGGGCAAAACGTGACAGTATATCATGGCTTGTCATTTTCTTCATTATTTCGTTATAGTAAAATAGAAAATTCTTGCAAACTGATCACAATGAGAAAATATCCAAAATTATCGACAATTGAAGTGCATAATTATGAATACAAGACTCGCTACTCGTTCATTTTCAATGTTGATTTATTGTTTGTGTTCATCTAATTCAAAAATTATTTACAGTAAATTTGGCTGAAAATATTGTCCACTGTAATTAAAATTCATTTTTTCAGCTAAACAAAATATTCAGATAGAATGATCGTTATCATTTAGTGATCGTTTTCAAGTGAATAAAAATGAAAGATCTATACTCAAGATGATTTCTCCCACTGAACTTCGTCAATGACCGTGACAAATATTAATTATGAGTGTACAATTCAGATGAAATTGAAGTACTTGAATCGATTAGTTTCAGGAGAATATAGCTGTATTTATTGGGTGAAAACATCTCTGAATTACGTCTGGATGCGTCTCATAAAAAAAACTGCGTCTGGCGTTTACATAGAGAGATCAATTCATATGAATATCTGAATAAAATTTAGGTAATGATTACATCTCAACTGACGATAATATTCTCATTGAAGACAAAAATTTTTGACAGGAATCATACTTACGAGGCATATGCTCCATACATTAGTCCAATGAAGTTACAAAAGAGATCGTTACACCAGCCAAACACCAGATAGACGGCAACAATACCGCATAGAGCTGTAACACAATGTAGACATGTGAGACGAAGTAGAAAAGCATTATTTAAAGCATACCCATAGCAATGATTGCAGATTCAACACCGGTCTTTGCTTCAATTAGATCAAACATGAAGCCAAGTGGACTGTTGATATAGAATGGTTTCACTCTACTTTGTAGTTGATCGAAATACTTCTTGAATATGTCAGCCATATTTCTTGAAAAATGAATTTAAATCTGAAACACAAATCAAACACTTGATAGTTTCATCCAAATGAGTAATAACTGATGTCAATTTGAAATTGATGGGCAAATAAATAAAATAATTTACTTATTGTTCTGTTTTTTTACGTCTACGAGAATTGAAATTTTTCATTAAAAAAAGTCCCTACTAGACCCTTGAATAGTTTTTTTTTGAATATCAATATCAAAGGTAAGATGATAAATAACACGACAATCAAAGTATAACACTAGAACCTAAGAGTAAAGCGCTGAGTGCAATTAAAGAGAATCATCGGAAACTGTCAGTAATCAATGGTAAACAAGCTTTTTTGAAGCTAATCTGATACAACAATTATATTGTATTACTTTTTTGCACTTTACGCTTTTAAATTAGTATCATTATGTAAGGTGTCAAGGTTTCCATTCCTAAGGAGTTGAAACCGACTTGAAAACTCGTTTTTATACACCTTTTTCTTCATTTTCTTACAAGTCACTATGTGCTTCCATGTTCAAGGGAACAAGAATTCGCGTCAGCAAATGGGTTTCTAGGAACAGAACTAGAAGCTGGCATCGTTAGTGTAAGGCTATAAGGTTAAGGATATAGTCAGACTCAGAAACAGTTTCGTATTGTGTGAAATCCAAAGAAAAGAAGTTTTTTGACATTTTTGTGCTGGAAACGTATTTGAAACTGTCTCGAAAATCTTTAGAGCACACAGATGTTGAGCAATTCGTTTTTGGGTTTCTGACAACAGAGCTTTTTTTTGCAAGTGTATAAGGATTCACTGTAAAAAAAAAGTGTAGAATAAGAAAGTCTTCAAAAGAGTTTGTTTGTCTCATAATCCTCACATTAAATTTTCGGAAACTGTTTGAACACATTGCTATTTTCATCGATCCTTTTAAGGATTATGCAAATCTCACAACCCGTTGCTGAATTGACAGTTTGTTTTCATAAACGGTTGCAATAGTTTATGGTAATGAAACCTATA